TGCATGAGGTCTACTATTACAGTGCTATAGCTATATAGCTATATAATCCTAATCCCTTATTTACATTTCTTGTCTTTGGTTTTGGGGCCCCACCTTGCAGGGCTCAGGGAGCTACTTCTGGCTGTGCTTAACTTCTGGTGGTGTTCCCTAACCCCTTTACACTTTAAAAGATTCTGACATGAGGGCCAAAAAGATAGCATAGGTGCACAGGTCTAATCTTCCTGTGATGTTCCTGGCCTCATAGGATCCGGAGACTGAACTGCCTCTACCTGGATGCCCAAGTACTACCCAAGGAGGCTCTCAGGGTCCCTTGAGAAATGCTAGTGAGGGCCTTGCTCACCAATAAAAGACTTTGATGGGGGTTGGAGAGATATTACAGTAGGTAGGGCACTTGCCAGACACAGCCAATCTGGAGTTCCATCCCAGTATCCTTTATGATTATCCTACCCCCACCGCCAGTACAATTCCTGAGCACAGAGCCAGTAGTAAGCCCTGAGTATCTCCAGGTGAGGCTCAAAAACAAAAAGATTTTGACAAGTACATTAAAATGAACACCAGGGGGGCTGGAGAAATAGCACAGAAGGTAGGACGTGTGCCTTGAATGCCCTGGGTTCAATTGTCAGCATTCCGTACGGTTCCCTGAGCACCGCCAGGAGTAATTCCTGAGTGCATGAATTAGGAGTAGCCCCTGTGCATCGCTGGGTGTGACCCAAAAACAAAAACAAAACAAAACAAAAAAAAATAAGTAAAATGAACACCAGAGATAGACTTCTTCACTTCCAACCAATCCCAAAAGGTCCTTTATGCCTCTGTAATCTACAAAACTCTCAAGCATGCATTTATTTCTCATTTAGAAACGCATAGTTTTTTCATTCTACAACAATTATTGTTAGGTATAACAACTTGGTTTTTATTATTGATAATTATTCTTTTGTAAATCCACTTCACAATTTATCTATTTGCACTCTTTGGGGTCCTTACAAATAAAAGTATTATGGACACTCAGATATGAACAAATATTTCATGTTCTCCAGGGTAAAGGTGCCATCAAACTGACTGGGTCATGTGAAAGACATATTTAAGAAACTGTCAAACCACAGAGATACAGTACAGAGGTTAAGAAGCTCATATTGCAAACCGCAGACACACTGAGGCACCAGGACTGCTTACCTGAGCACTGTTAGGGGTCAATCTTGAGGAGAGCCCTTGAGCACCACTGGGGCTAGAGCCAAGGAAACTATCAAATCACGTAACAACTGAGCAAAATTGACTTCAAGTGTCTTCATTTGTCAAGATTTCTAATCAATTATGTTAATACTGAAATAAGCTGGTTAGTGTCCCCTTTACTAATTATTTCCTGGGCTGAGTGAATGCTCTGTATGTTTGATCACTGGCACATGATCAAGCCCTGCTAAGGCCAGGCGGTTAGCCCAGAACCAAAAAAGGAATCATCTCTTCCTTGTGTGTTCTAGGATATCTGACCCTTGACTGTGTTTTGGAGATGGCAGATATTAACTCAAACGACGTCTCACATATGCAAGGTAAGATCTCTACATCTGACCCTTAGAGTTTTCTTTATGGTATGAATAATGACTAATTCATGATGTGATGGTTTGAGGGTCATTCAGATTTTCTATTTCTAGTATCTGCATCATTTTGGGAAAGGTGTTTTTTTTTTTTGCGTGCTTTGAACCTTGAATCAAATTCATGACCCATGCTTCATCACTGACCCATATTCCCTGGCTCCTAGAAAAAAGCCTTTCCCTTTAACACCTCCAATGGTACCTCTCAGAACACTTGTGTGAAGCATGCACTCTGCCATTGAGCAGCCTCCTCAGTCCCTATGTACCCCCTTTCATGTCCCTACATTATTTAATAAACTGCAATTAACTGATTGAAATACGGTCCTTTTGTTTCTACAACCCTACAGTTATAATTCTACTTAACATTTTCAATAGAATAGACCTATGAGAGAAGGACTATCTAGGCCAGAAGTTCCTAAACTTATTGTCCCACTATCCCCTGGGGAGGTGGGTTGGGGGGAGAGAACACTTAGCACCTGCTCTTAGGGGCAAATATTGACTTCTTTGGGAATCATCGTTGTAGCCTTTTTGTATCAACTAAAAACAAAACCGCTACAAAGTTTTCTACTTTTAAGCAAAAAGATAAAATGAAGCAAGCTAAAATTCCCCGAGGCTTTATCTCCTTTACTTCCCCTTTTGCACTACAATCGGGTACATTTCTTTTTCTGGTTACTGGAAAGAGGAGGAAGAGGGAAGAAAAGTGTCCAAGAGCAAAGACAAAAAGGTTATTAACATCTAATTCAAATAGTAGTTACTATGTCTCAGACACTTTAAACCTATTATCTACTTAATCCTCAACTACCCCAAGAGGTAGGTACCAATGCCTCCATTTCAGAGATGAAGAAACAGAAAGCAGAATTAAATGCTGTTTAAATTAAAATCTAACATTCCAAATCACACAATCAACCATTTTAATTTTGTGTTGAATGAATGATTGAGTATTTCAAGGTATCTGGATCTGGCAACCTTCCTCAGAAAGCAGTATCCACTGGGTCTTCTTGATAGGCTATGGATTTTTAGATGACTTAACATCTATTAATTTTCTAGTTTTTTTTTAAACCCTCAGTAACTAAACTAACATCAGATCCATGTGGCAGGTCACTGAAAATGTTGAGGATGATGAGTAATGGACTTCTCAGTTAAAACCAACTTTTCAGTTCTTACTTGCTGTCAACAGCTTGAATATGCTACCTGTCAAAATAATTTTTAATGAAATTAAGTTTCTACAAAATATATAGTACTAAATCACAGACTTCAAAGATATATTCTGTCCTTCAAAGTTTAACTTTTGACACTGTGGTAGCAATACTATTTTAACCTGATTAAAGAAGAAACGAAAGTGTCGAGGATGTGGCTCAGGCCATAATGGAATCATTAGTCGGCAGACATGTGCAAGGTCTTGGGTTCAATTCCTAGCAACACACACACAGAGCAAAGCTAAAGCTAAGTTGCCCTTACAAGTTTCTCCCTCACCTTCACTCAGGAAACTCAATCTTTAAGAAAGACTTCTTGGTTTAATTCTAGAATTTTGTTCAGGAACTCGAAGTAAAACCCCGCATGCAAAGCAAGCACTTATGCCCTTTGAGCCATCTCTTCGGCCCCTATTAAGATCTTCTAACAAATACGCCTGGTAGCATTTAATGTGCCAGAGTAAAACAATTTGTTATTCACTTAATAAGACAGTTCCTAAGTCATGAGTTCTTCTGTGCCAAGACTTCCTAGATAATGCGATTACAACCGTTCCACCAAAGGCATATTACCCGACACTGGCTAAGTTTTCCCCCTACGAAATGGAGGCAATACTAAGCTTCCCCATTTTTTGCAAGTAACAGCTTCCTATAGTGATTAAAGGGGGAAAAAAGAACCACAAAACAGATTAAAGAAAAAAAAAAAAACACAGAACAGCCGAGCACGATGCTAAGTTAGGCATTAAGCGACACACAAAGGTTGGGGGGTGGGAAAAAAACCAGACCAAGAAGCTGTGATATTTTAGCTAAAGGCATGCTTTTTTTTTTCTAGGCGTGCTTCAAAAGATCTCTGCCTTAAGGTCCCCGGCGAAGCACGTGTCCGCCCAGATTCCCTTCTTCAGTCGTTTTTTTTTTTTTTTTTGGTCGGGGCCAGCAGCGAACGCGGCCCAGCATTCCTGAACCGCCCATTGGCCCACACCCAGGGGCCAGGCGCTCGGTGGGGCCGGGAGAGCTCATTGGCCACCGCGTCTCAATGAAGCGGCCACGCGGGTGCCTCGGCCGCCCCGCCACTCGCACTCCGGGAGCACGCGGGAGCGGGAGAGCCCCGCCGCACAGGCCCCGCTCGCTACCTCCCGCCTGCGTCGGGGGGCTCGACTTTGGGGCGCGACCCCGGGCACCCCGCTCCGGGCCGCAGCGGGCCCCAATCGCCGGCGCCTGCCTGGTGGTGGAGGAGGGGGGGGGAGCGGGACCGGGAGGGGAGGAGGGGGGTCGGAGGTGGGAGGCCGGGCCCCCTCCCCCCCCCCCCCAGATTCCTTCGCAGGCTGCTCCTGCAAGCCTTTCACGGTCCCAGCTCGCGGCCGGGGCCCTCGCTCTCGAGTCCGCCCCGCTCCCCGGACCCCCGCGGCCTGGGAAGCAGGTTACACAACCCAAGGTCAAGGGACGGCTTGGGAGCCGGCTGCGGCCCGGGGCGCTGGGGGGCCGGCCCGAAACGGGGTTTTTGGTGCAGAACCCGCGAGGAGGGCGGCGGCGGCGGCGGTGGTGGCTGGTGGCCCCCCCCCCCCCCGCCACTGCGCCAAGCACCGGCTCCCGCCCAATCCCCGGCGCCCCGTGCTGTCAGCGCGCCCACGGGCCGGGAGGAGGCCTCGCGGGCGAGCTCGGCAGCCCCGGCCCCAGGCCCTGGCCCCGCGCCCTCCTCCACGGCCCCGAGGGGTGGGAACTGGGGGGTGGGGGGAAGACACGCCCGAATTAGCGCCTGACTAAGCCCGCCGAGCCACACCTGCCGGCAGGGAACACGCGCAACCCCCCCTCTCCCCCACCACCACCCGGTCCAGGGCAAACTACCTGGGCAGCATGTGCCGAGGGACCGGTCCCTTCCCCCGGCGGCCCGCAGCCCCGCCGGGGACGTTACCTGAGCACGCGGCGGCCGCCTCCCCTCCCCTCCCCCAGCCGCGGGCAGCGCCCGGTGGCAACGGCGGCGGGACTCGTCGGTTCGGGCCCGGCGGGGACGCGGCCGCCTCCCTCCGCCCGGGGAACCCCCCCCCCCTACTCCTCTCCGGGTGCGGGAACCAGGCCCGCCGGGCTAACTGCACCCCACCACCCACCCACCCACCAACCTGAGACGCCGCGAAGCCGGGGCCCAACCCCCGGCAGCAGCCCTAAGGAGAGGGAAGCGCCGACGGTGGGCGAGCGAGCCCTACCACCCCACCCCACCCCACCCCGGAGCACCCACCTTGGAATGGTGCGAAGATCCCCAGATCCTTGGTTTGCGTCGGCTTGCTGCCGGGAGAACCAAACCTCCAGCAGCTTCTCGGTTCCTTCGAAAAAATGTGCAGCTTCCATCACCGTGAGACGAGCGAACAAACCAACAACCACAGAAAATCAACTAAATTAAAAATTTTTTTTTTCTCTCCCGCCGCTGCTGCCGCCGCCGCCGCTGCGGATTGTTCCAGCTGTGTTACTTAAAAGTTCAGGTTCCTTTTTTTTTTTCTTTTTCTTTTTGCTATAATTTTATATTAACTTTTTTTTTTTAGAAAAAAAGGACTAATAAAATTTCCCCGGCTTTTTTCGTGAGTGTGTTTGTGAGCGAAAGTTGAACGAGTCTGTTGGAAAAGAGGCAGATTAGAGTTCAGTCTCTTGTAGTCCGCTGTTTCCCCGTTAAAGAGAGCAGAGCGAGCGCTAGCTAATGTCGCCGGCCATACTGTGGAAGCGAGAGCACTGCGCGAGCAGCGCCTTTATATACACCGCCGGCGCCCCCCCGCGCCCACCCCCGACGAGACAGGAAGTGACGTCAGGTCCCGCCCCTGCCTCCCATAGCTGCGGCGGGCTGTCCGTCACCCGTCGCCCAGTTGCGGCTGGCTGGCCGCTGGCCTGCTGGGAGCGCGGGGAACTGCCCGCCGCTGTGCGGTTCGGCTTCGCTTTCGCGCTGTCCCCTGGGGGCGGGAGACGGCGCTATCTTCTCCGGCGGGGTACGACGGCTCCGGGGCCGAAGGATGCGGCCCGAGCAGGGGAAGAATGGGCACCGAGTGAGGGAAGGCTTTTTTTTTGGGGGGGGGGGGGGAGCGATGCGTGAAATATCTGGTTAGTTTAGCACAGGCTGGGTCCTTCCCAGGGTGGACGGGGTTCGGTGGGGGCGGTGGCCCCTGCTGGGCTGGCACATTAGTGGCTTTTTTTTTTTTTTTTTTTTTTTTTTGGTCCTGTGCGGTCACCGAGAGGATGGCTTGGGCCATTCTCTGAATTGTGTTTTCTCGGAGGCGCACGCAGCCGGGAATTCAAACTCCAACATTTGTCCGTGACGCACGACGCCGCTCAGGGTCGGATTAGAAGGCGCTTTAATTCTGCTCACGCCGCCTAAGCCCATGTGGGAGCGAACGCCATCCTCGACCCGTTGGGTTTTTTTTTTTTTAACACAATAGCCAGTAGCGTTGTCTCCCGGTTTAAAAAGAGAAAAGCAACGTGGCGGCCAGCCTTGGAAGACTCCCACTCGACCATGTGGCTCGCCGAGCCTGAAAGTTGCATGAGCGCGCAGCTGCGGGGGGAAGCCCTGACAATTGCGTGCTCTCTTGGATCAACTGGTGCGAATTTATCCCGCGAATACTCTTTGTAGAAACCATAATTTTAAATCGATCACATTTTTCTCTGCATTTTCTGAAGCCGATAATTGATTGAAATAGTGTTTTCCCCAACGCCCCCCCCCAATTTACTGATCTGTCGTCTCCTACCTAAGAGAAATCTACATGGAAATTAACAATTCAAAAGAGCCATCAATGTTCAGTAACCAACGTACACTCTGAAATGGATGTCAACTCTTAACAGGTTTAGAACCTCAGGTGGTAAAATTGTGGTAACTAAGTTACAACTTTTCCTCGGTTGTTATAAGGAGGGAAAAAAAATCAGCCTGACACAATAATCACCATAGTCCACCCCCTCCACCACCCATCCTGTGTCAAAATTGAAATAAGATCATCTAAGTGTGAAATATCTACTGGAAACATTAAAAAAAAAAACCTGGTTTGAGTCTGCACTCTAGATTGCTCCGAGGTAATAACGACTTACAGGAAGGTGGATTTGTTTGCTTTGCTCTGTGAAATCTGTTGAAAGAAGCCATGTCCCGTGGTGGTACATAGACTATGTTATTTTGCAATGTCTTAAAAGCATCTAACTCAAACTGGGGATTGGGACAAAAGATAATAATCGTTGCTTATTTTATTATAATAATAATTAATGGAATGTGGTGGTTACTCTTGGAATAAAGATTAAAGAAGTATATGTTTTACAAGCTCTTCAATTATTTGATGGCTGCTTATTGAAGAATCTACTAAACCACCTCAAACACTAATTGTGGTATAAACATAATTTGACTTATAATTGCTTATAATTAGTTGCTTTTCAACTACTATTATGCCTTTTCCCAATGTAATTTATGTTAGTACAAAAGTGTCAAGAATGTTGGCAATGTAAATCCTTGTAATTTGATATAGGATAAATTAAATAGTCTTAACTTGTTCTTTATGAAATCTATTCTTTTTCTTTTTTTAACTTTTACTAAAGTACTGTGATTTACCAAGTTTTTCATAGTTGGGTTTTTGACATACAGTGTTCTAGTCTGTCTAGAATAGCACCAGGGCTTGCAACCAGTGAACTTCCCTCTATCAGTGTTCCTAGGTTCCCTCTCCTACTCTCTACTTGAAAATTTTTGGGGGGAAGTCACACCCAGCGATGCTCAAGGGTTACTCATGTCTCTGTACTCAGGAATCACTGCTGCAGATCCCCCAAGGGATTCTATGGGAAGTCGGAAACTGAACCTGTGTCTGCCACGTCAAGGCAAATGCCCTACCTACTATACTATAGCTCCGGCTCTAATATATTCTTTTTCTTAAGCATTCCTGTTATCTTGAAACTCATAGTCAGTGATCTTATTTTCAGTTGGTTGGTTAATCTGAAGTACTTCAGTATATTTTTATTCCTTTTTTTATCTGCCCCATCATTTTTCCCACATTGCCAGTCTTATAAAAAAGAACGCTTCTTGAACATTTTGCCCTTTGCACCTAAAGAATCACTTAAAGAACTTAAGTAAACTTCTAGACCTTCCTCAGTCTCCTCTGAGTGTACACACATACTTCTTATTTGACCCAACTTCTTCCTTTAGCTAAGATCCAACTGCTCTGCCCTTTCTCATGGCAAAAGTCCCTAAGAGCAGTAGTAAACAGCAGGTAAGGCACTTGCCTTGAACACAGCCAACTCAGGCTCTGTCCCCAGTGTCCAATATGGTCCCACGAGCCCTCCAGGAGTAATACCTGAGTGCAGAGCCAGGAGTAACTCCTGAGCACCGCTGGATGTGACCCCAAAACAAATTTTTTTAAAAAGTCCCTAACAGATAAAATTACATGCTTAGAATTTCAGCTCTCACCTCATCTCTACTTCAGACTATCCAAGCTGAGAATGAAATGACACTTCTCAAGGCCATTTCTTGTCTAAAGCAATGGTTCAGAGAATGGTGTCAGGGCCGGAGATAGAGCTCAGTGGGCTGAGCACATGCTCTCTCTGTGGGAGGCTCATCCCCTGGGATGAAGCACAGAGCTGGGAGGAGCCCTGCACATCACTGCCAGGTGTGGCCCCAGAACAAAACAAAACCAAACAATAGTGTCACCCCTTATTTTACTCAATCATTCAATAGCTTGTGATAGAATTAATTACAGCTTCTGAAAACAATTCTCCAAGTTTTTGTGACACCTCTTTCTTAGTTCTCTTCTCCCTGTCTGGATTCTTCCCAGCTTTGTCCTTTTAAAGTGCACTTTCTCCATAAATAACCTACTTGTCCAATTCAGTCTTTATGATATTCATATGCTAATGATTTCAAATCTATCTCCAGATCAGACTTCTTCATTGTATCCCAGACCTTTGAGACTTTTTGGCCAACGATACTAGCCTTTTTTGTTTGTTTACCTTTTGGGCCATACCTAGCAGTGTTCAGGAATCATTCCTGCCGTGCTCAGGGAACCATATGGAGTATTGGGGATCGAACTCAAGTCTGCCCCATGCAAGGACAGTGCCCTACTATGGCTCTGCTCTTTTAATGCATAACATGCACATCAAAACTAATGTTAAAAAAAATTTATGTGTCTGAAAGAAAACTTTTTTCACTGAGAAATCTGCCTTTCTACAAACAAAACCCAACTGTCCTCAATTCAAGCTTCTGACTAATCTTTCTACTCTTATCTCTGTACAGGCTTTCTTCAGGAGGCAACTCTCCCATTTGATAACAGTTACCCAAGCCCAAAGTCAACTTTTGCCTTGCTCAGCCACATATGCCACTCTTTTCTGGATCCTTTTGCTACTTGAATTTAATCTAGTTCCTACTGTGTGTTGCGGACACGTTTTTGTTTCACTAATTTGATATAGCCGCTACCCCCAATCTATCATTAGTCCTTTGATGACACTTCTAAAACATTTCAATAATTCAGGACTGGAGCAATAGTACTGCAGACAGGGCAGTTGCCCTGTATAGGGCCAACCTGGGTTTGATCCTCAGCATACCATATGGTTGCTCAAGCCTGCCAGGAGTGATCCCTGAGTGTGGAATGAGTAGTAAGCCAGAACAATGCTGGGTGTGTACCAAAAACCCAACAAATAAAAATTTTCAACAATTTGTCCTCTCTGTCTCTCTTTTTTTTTTTTTTTTGCATTTTTGTTTTGTTTTGTTTTGTTTTTAAGCCATACTCAGCGATACTCAGGGGTTACTCCTGGTTCTGCACTCAAAACCCAGTGTGCTTTGGGGACCATATGGGATGCCAAGGATCAAACTCACTTTGGCTGCATGCAAGGCAAATGCCCTACCTACTGTACTATTTCTCTAGCCCCCTTGTTCTCTTTCCTTGCTGTTATTACTATCCTAGTTCAGAGCACAAATTTCTCTGACCATTGCAAGTAGATTTCTAACTAACGATAGCACAGCGGTAGGGTGTTTCCCTTGCACGCAGCCAGCCTGGCCGAGCCGGGTTCGATTCCTCTGCCCCTCTCAGAGCCTGGCAAGCTACTGAGAGTATCTCGCCCACATGGCAAAGCCTGGCAAGCTACCCGTGATGTATTCAATATGCCAAACACAGTAACAACAAGTCTCACAATGGAGATGTTACTGGGCCCACTCAAGCAAATCGATGAACTACAGGAGGACAGTGACCGTGTTCTTTGCCTTCACTTAGACCCTTTCCCATGTTTTATCACAGAGCACCAGTGATTTTTTTTAAGTTCAAATTATGACACTTTTTTTAATCTTTGGGGCTATAATCAGCAGTATTTTGGAGCTGCTACCAGTTTAGCACTCAGAGGATGCACTCAGCAGTACATGAGGGACTATGTGGTATTGGGAATCCAATCCAGGGCCTCACACATGTAATCAAGTGTTTTACCCCTGAGCTACATACCCCATACCCCATGACATTTGTTTTACTATTAAATTACCAAATGTTTTTCTGTCTCGCTTGATTTAAAAATATTCCTGCCTCCCAGGGCTAGAGGGAGAGTACAGTGGTTTCCCTTGTACACAGTCACCCGGGTTCAATCCCTGGCAATGCATTTGGTCCCCTGAGCTCTGCCCCGAGTGATCTCTGAGTACAGAGCCAGAAGTAAGCCCTGAACACTGCCAGATATGACCCAAAATTAAACAAAAATTTACCGCCTTCTAAACATGTCCTTTGGGCTGGGGATGTGGCTCAATTGCAA